GACGTTTTCTGGGAGCCATGAGAAGCGGCGTATCTGAAAGGTTCCTCTAAGAATTGAGAGTAAGAATTGATTGAGGGTCAGGTTTTGGATTGAGAGTAAGAAATGATTGAGGGTCAGGTCTTGAATTGTTTGAGAAGAGTTGGCGAAGGACACCGGGGTCCCTCCAGGTTCAAATATTTTCAGTGACCATCGCGGTGAGGCTGGGAAACGCAAAATCCAACCCACACCAGACTCGAATTGGGCACCCAGAGCAAAGGAAGCCAAGTGCCGAACCCTGGTTGTCCAAAACCTGCCCGCATATTGAAGGCCAGGATGATTGGCTGTTGTGGCTAGTGTGGCTGATGCGGCTGATGCGGATACCTCGTATTCCTGGTGGCACAGCCTGACCGCTGTACGGAGGCAACCAGTAATAGGGCCCAGAGTGCTCAGTGAACAGACACTGACGTGGCAGGCGCTTCAGTTGTCTCTCCTCGTGTGCGCCTGTCCAAAATCTGGCAACATGCCAACGTTGCTTTTAACTGGCTGATCATTATCTTCGCTATTAACAAGTTGAATAGATATATTAAGTTGCCAACCAGCATTTTTCCAGCGGGGATGTTGTCCAAAATCTGGTCTTTGGCAGTAAATGTTGCAGATGGCAGACACTGCCATTGTCCAAAATGTGGTGTTCTCAAGTATTTATGCATGAATTGCCTCACATCATGAACTTTGAATCTTTTCTTCCTAGCAATTTCCAGGTCAGTCTACGGAGCGGCTCAGAAATTCAATATGGCCATGTCTCTTGCGACGGTCCTTGCACTTGTGGCTTTGCTGGTCATGTGTATTCCAGCCTTGCCCTTCCTCTGGCGCCATTATCAACGTAATCGGCAGCTGCCGTCCCCTTGTCGCCATCCGAGCCGCTCAACGACTGGCGGCCACGACTCTTCATATCTGCACACATCAGCTCCACCGCTTGACGGAAGTCATGTACGGTTATCCTCAAGAAGAGTCCATTTTGCCAGCTCAGGATGGATATCGCACTATGACGAGCTTTCTCTGGTTGAGAGTGGGATATTGCCACACCTGTAAGAAAACCCCTATGGATTGGTTTCGTTGGCAAGATTGTCTCACCTGTTCTATCAATCTCAGCGCAGCACGTGGTGAAGAGCGAGCCTCCGCATCGAACATGATTTGTGGTTATAGCGACTGAAACCGAACGCAATATCCAGAGACCAGACGGGAGGGCTTTCGAAGAGAAGATTTGGGTAATGGGGAGCATTTATCAAAAGGACTGTGCTGCAACCGGTCGACCCGTATCTCTCAGCAAATGTTCGAACGTGTAAATGGCTGAATGGTCCATTTGACCATGGCGTTGATGGATTCCGGCCAAATTGTCAGGGACCTCGTTGTGCGAGGAGTCTGCTACAGCAACGATAGACTTCAATGGACAGGAAGTAGATCGGATTTTGTGGTCGAGAACATCTCGCCATCATGCCAGACTTGGAGCTTGGGTCCCTTTTGAGTCGATCACATTGCGTGTGTGGCGCTGTTCGTCTCGTGCGAGCCGCACCTAATCACTTCTTTCCAATTGGTGCAGAGAGAAAGTTGTGAACAGTCGTTAGATCCATGTCTTTGACATGGACTTGGGGGACCCGATGGTTGATATCCGGGCTAGCAAGGTGAAGGAAATGTGGTCAATATGACCGGATTATCGGGTTGAGACCATGTACAATTTGTGTGCTTGTGTCTGGAAAGAAGGAAGAAGTCCATGGGATTGAAAGGTGCAGGGGGATGTAGAGGGATGTATGTAGGCTAGTCCTGAAGTGGTCTAGTGCCAAAAGTTCGCGTGAGTATTGTCATGTGACCGCTAGCATTGGCATGAACCAAGGTACTAGGTATTTAGCTCAAGTATTGTTGGCGACCTGAGGCCACGAGATTCTGGAGAGGTTTATCTATTACTACAAGTACAAGTTTTCTATCCTCCCCAGTCTCTCACGTTGAATGTCGTCAGCGTTGGACCCGTCGATGGTTCCAGGAGCGGGTGCGCGGTAAAACATACGTCTGTACCGACTGAGGGGCCCTGAAGAGCAGCCCAGAAATGGACATGTGTTCCCTGCTGTGCAGGCTGACCACACGCTAGGCTCAGTAGGCTCAGTCACATGTCACGCATCCTGGGGTTGTCTCAGCGAGTATCAAGGTCAGACTTTATCATTATTTACATGGCTAATCTCCCACCCCCACGAGCATTTCTGGATGATATAAATTGAGGTCCAGAGTCCGCAATCCACCGTGGACCTTTCGAAATATGGAAGGCTCCTTCCTTACTGAGCAAGTGTTTTATATCTGCGCGTCATAACAGATTGATGTCTTGGATGCGAATGAACGAATGAACGAATGAATGCTTTCTCTGGAAGATCACTGTACCGCACTTTTCGAGTTGTATGCTACTCCCAGTGGAGCACTTCGATTTTTTGTCGAGTCAACGCCCAGTGTCCTGAAGCCGAGGATTCACAATGATCTCTCTAGCGGAAAGAAAACACAATCACCAAAGAAATCAGTCAATCAATCGACCAGGCTTTTCCAATCCCCATTGGACGCCCTCATTGGTAAGTAGTGCAACGAATGCCTCCCTCGTCATCTTCCCGTTCTCGACATCTTCTCTCAAACATTCCATCTTCTCCACCATCTCGTCGTACTTGACCAGTTCGGCCAGCTTCCGTTCTGTAAACTTCTTTGCCTCGTTACCGTGGTGGCCCTCCTCCAGCTCCTTCCACCGCTCCGGCCCGAGGTGCGCCCGAAGTTGCGCAAAGGGTAGGCTGTCTCGGTGGTTGAACCCCCATGACAGTAGCATGTGCAGCCACATGCTCCCTGACTCCTCGGAGTGCCTCACCAGGCGAGACAGCTCCATACCCGGCTGCCCTGGAATCCGCGCCTCCTCTTCCTCGAGCACGGTCTTGAACATGTCCAGGTTCCGCAGATACCTCTGTAAAATCTTGGGAATCTCTTCCTCGTCGAGGAAAGTATCATAGTTGTTCAGTCGGTCTTGTAATAGCCACCACGGGGCCGAGCCGAACAGCTGTGCCGGGCCGGCGTAGGACCATTCGAGGTCCACCAACCCCACCACAGTCAGGTCTTCTGCGCTCCGGACGATCAAGTTGGCCAGGCCAAGATCGTCACAAATAAGTTTGTAAGGCCCGAAATGCATAGCTGGGTTCGACGAGCTGCGGGGCGACGACCTGAAGGGCGCGAAGGGCAGCATATTTGGGCCGGGTGACGGTGGAACCGCCAGCAGAATTAGGCTGGCGCTGGAATTGTTCCCAGTCTTGACCAGCCAGATAGCAAAAATAGTCGGCAGCGTCAGAGAAGCTCAGGTTTCGGTCGCCTTGAAAAGAATTATGTATGGAATTAGTCTTTTGTTCCTCGATCCCCGTAGTATCCGCTGCTAGAATTGTAAACACGAAAAACTACAAGAGGCAAATAAGAGGCAAACCAAATGTCAAAAAAGGGCATACCGAAAGTATTGACTCCTCCGGTTTGCAGGATATCGTGGACCTTGAAAGTCAAGGGCCGGATGGGAGCCTTAAAGCCGGTGATGGGCGTTGGGAGGCTGCCAAGGACGGGAAAGTCGATCTGGAAAATCTGGAGCAGGATGCGGGCGAGTTGTCGGTAGAGGAACTTGACATCCTCATCGCAGATGTCGTCTCGAAGTAATCTGGTATTGTGTTGCTGCCGTAGCAGCATATTGACACTAACCCCTTCGATAAATTCCATCACAATGTAAGGGCCCAGGCCGAGCGGGTTGTTGACGCTCAGGCCCCAGGCAAAAATTCTCGGGACGGGTACGTTCCTACCACGGAGAAGGCTCAAGACCTCCACCTCGACTGCGATCTTCTCGTCGGCGTGCTCGTCGCAGACGCTGCCAACAATGGGCATGCGGAGAAGCCAGATGGTGCCGTCGCGAAAGCGCAGTTTTTGGCACAGATTGTACGAGCCGTTGAGGAAGTTACCGTCGAGGCTACATTCCAGCTTTTTGGGGTGTAAGGATGATATCCAGCTAGTTACAAGGCCTGTGACGCGAGCTCGGTTAACTCGCTCAACCCAGAGTTCCTTCTGGATATCGTGAAGGAGTCCGAAGGGTTCGTTGATGTCCATAATGCTGAGTGAGGTAAGAGGTGGTTGTGAAATGGGGTGTCGCAGTTGACATCACTCAATCTTCAATGCGTCGGAGAATGTTTGTATTTCAGCCACGTGGTATCGAGCGTCCATTGCCTCAAAGTATTCCCTATTTAGGAGAATGCTCTCGCCGTGTTTTCTTCTAACACTTACCGGATTAGGTAATAAAAGTAAATACCGTATCAACAACGGACTGTCTGGCGTCAATCAAAGCAATCGAGGTCAGAGCCCAAACACTTTGGGGATATAGCAATATAGAGGATGTCCAGCATCTTCGTAAGAGGTACAAAATGGAAAAGGCTGAAGACCAGGGAAGCGTCGTACCAATCTCAGCTCGCAAAGATTCTGGTGGAACTGTGAGCCGATGTTGGGCTGAGAGGTCTGGCTGCGGGTGAGTCTTTACTACGACCTGCCCACGGAAGATGAGTGACTTTCAACAGGCAGTTTTAGGTGACGTTCCAGCCAGAACGCCACCTGAGGGCCTTGTCAGCAGCAGATCGCTGAGGCCATGGGGTGGTAACAGGCACTCGGTCTCCCCGTGGCACGATTCAGAAAACGCTTCTATGCAGCTGAGGACCAAGCCAGGGCACGAGAACAGGACGTATGTACCTCTCTATGTAACTTGCCTGGTCAATCTGTGAGAGAATTTTCTGCCATGTATAATAGTAGATAATGTACCTCTTGAACCTCTTGAATCTCTTTGCCGCCTATCCCCGAAGCCTCGACACGGGGGACGGCGAATTTGATCATCAACCCAATCTATGACAGACTCTTGGCCAATACTTGCCTGCGTTCTCGGACGAAAAAAAGGGGACACGCCCTTTGGGCTTTCTCACAGATTCACAGTTTCACACTTGGGATGTGTCGAACCCTTTCCAGCCGTCAAGGGCGTCGTCAAGGATCTCCTTGTACTTGTTCACTCCGCCCAGATACACGAGCTGCTCAACGAGTTTTCCGGGGATGTTTGCGCCGGTATACCAAGATTCGGTGAACTGTTTGTTTTGACAAATTTTGTCGTGTTAGTTTTCGAAAAGGATCAACTTTGATGGGGCACCAATGAAGAAGCGAAGGAAAACAAAGAGGGGGGAGGATGTGCCTCGAAAGAGGACATTTGGAGGGTTTGATGTCCTTACCGGGAAGAGTGTCTGCTTGTGCATTTCCTGAATCCCTTCCCTCCACGTGCGGGCGGCTTCTGCGTTCCCCTCAATAGTAGCAATGCCTTAGTCGTTCATCTTCTTAATCGCTTCACAGATCCAATCTCCTTGAATCTCGATGCAAGGGGGCCCGTTCGAAAGTTGAGAAGGTGATTGTGGCTGGTGGGTGGCGAGTCCATCGAGATAGAGTGGATTAGCCAGGCATCCTTCTCGGGGCGGAGAAGGAAAGGAGAGGGAAGGGGGCTATTAGAAAGAACCACACTCACGCTGTACATCATGAAGAAGTTGGGCATGTCAGGCACACAAATCCCCAGACTAGTGTATACGCCATCCTTCCATTTCTCCTTGAGCGTCACTCCGTGCTTGTCGCTGATGTTGAGATCCATCAAGCTCCCCGTGACGTTATCGTAGCCTGTGGCAAGAAGGACGACGTCGAAATTGCGAGTTTTGCCGTCCACAGTGGTGATACCCGTGGTGGTAAACTCCTTGATGGGCGTCTCCTTGAGGTTGACCAGCTCAACATTTGGCCGATCGATCGATTCGTAATAGTCGCGCTCGAGGTTGCTACGCTTGGTGCCCATGTAATAGGGCTGCACGACTGGGCATACAATGTTGCGTTTTGCAACATCTTTGACTCGGCCCTCCGTCTTTCTCCGCCAGTAGTCATACACGACCTTGTTGACCTTGGTGTCCAGTACCCATTCGCGATAGTTACACATCAAATACTGAAACCCTCCCCGATCGAGAAGCTCGTCCCACGCCTTCGTCCGTTCTTGTTCTGTCGCATCGTGGTAGGAGCCAGGGAGTGAGGCATAGGGGAACCCTGTGCCCGTCAGTTTGCAGTGGTCGAGGAGAGCCTGGACAAACCCCCGCCCAGCCTTCTGATCCGCGACTGACGGGCGGCTCTGTCCCATCGGCAGGTTGATGGCCGGTTGACGGATGAAGGCCGTAAGTTGGCAGTCCTCCTTGGCCAGTGTCTGAAGAATCTGAACTCCACTGGCACCGTTTCCTATGACGGCGATGGCCTTGTTCGTCACATCCAGGCCTTCGTGCGGGTAACTGGCTGAATGGTAGATTTTACCGCCGTATTGCTGGATTCCTGGCCAGGAGGGCAAGTATCTCTTGTGCGAGGAGCCGGATGCGGCAACGACAAACTTGGAGGTAAAAGTGATGTTGGAGTTCGTGGTCGAGGTCCATCTCCCACCCTCGTGCCACACCTTGGTCACGAGGGTGTCGAACACTGTGTCCTTTCGGAGATCCCACACATCTGCCAGGTGGTTGAAGTAGTCTCGGATCTCTGCGCCCCCGGGAAACCGCTCCTTCCAGTACCAATCCTGGTATGTTTCGTACTGTGAGAATTGATACAACGGAATCTCAGAGTCAACCGCCACGCCGGGATAGCGGTTCCAGTACCAACAACCGCCATAGCCAGAGCCAGCTTCGCATATTTTCACCTTCAATCCCAGTTTTCGAAGCTTGTGCAAGGCATAGCAGCCACTGAAGCCGGCACCTATGACCAGCACATCCAGTTCTTCCCGAGGCCTGGCCCCGTTGGAGTCGATGTCATTGACATGTGCAACGCCATTCGTCTTTACCTCGTGCTGGACATTGTTTGGTTCGGTCGGAACAGTAATGCGCCCGGATAACTCGATATCTTCCAGCGTGTCAGCATTTGCGACGACTTCAGAGGTAGAATGGATGGACATGATGTTCTCGAGGCCCGTGTGACAGAGTCTTCACAAGTTGGTCAGGCGAAAGCCATGTCGAGGTATTAGAATGTTTTTGTCGCCGTTAATAAGTGCTGTAGTTGAGTCAATCAGGCTGAATATTCCGTAGGCAACCAGACGGAATGGGTGAACGATCTCGGAATCATGTCTAGGAAGTTGATTGCATCGGAAAGTCTACGTCAATTTGTCGTATAGCCCGAGAAAGTACCCTAAAATAGAGAGGGAGAGAATAGGCAAACGATGACTTGTCTTGTGAGTGAAGGGGCTGCTTTTGTTCCCCATACAGGACAAGTGCCCGGATCTCTGGTGCAGGCAGAGATCTCTCAACAATCATTAGATTCATGTTTTGAATATCTGGGTGGCGTGAGATCTAGACTATCAAGGTGAAGTAAAAGTAGCCACGATGGTCAGAATACTGAGATGACAATCATGTACGTAGCACGTGTGTCTGAAAAGAAGAATGAGAGTGTTGGTTTCACTGGTAGAGGGGGTGTATTTTGAGGCTAATGCCTAAGAAGCCTAGCGTACATGTGATATTTAGCCCCCTTTTCCCTGCACGTGCCTAGTTGCTCAGATACTACAAGTCTGTTCAACGCAGCTTCTACCAAACAGACACTTGTAAGAGGAAGGGTTCCCTCCATCACTAATAGCGTCCGCCAAAGAAGCGGCAGTGCTTCCATTCCTCCAGACAAATCAGATTCCCATCCCGATCTCCGAAATAGAACCAGACCGTGTCGCCCCAGTTCAATCCCATTTTCTGACACTCGACATAGATTGGGCATCCCAGCTTCTTCATGTCGTCGAGTGACTTGAAGTAGTCGGGGGTCTTGTGACAGTATCTGCAAATACCCTTTTGCGACCAGGTTGGGTCAAGTCCTGGATCTTTCAACAAGCGGCCATTGTCGATGGTCTCGAGGAGCTCGAGGTGCATCAGACTCGGGTCGCGGGGATTGCGCAGGAAGCCGACGTCCAAGATTTTGTCTTCGATGATAAAGTTGAAGGCGTCCTTCATCTGCTTCTTGAAAACATCGAATCCGTCGGGGAAAGCTGACTCGACGTGTCTTTCGTTCACTCCCGTGTCGTGCGTCATGCCGAAAGCTTTGTAAAAGTTGTTGGACTTTTCGAAGTTGCGGCAGTTGACTTGGAAATGGAGAAGGCTGATTTCGTTTCCGTTGGGCGGCCTGGCCAGCTTCTCGAATGGGTTTTGGTCGATCGAGATCAGCTCCACCCACAAGTCCTCCGGGTCGATGATCAAGGCCTGGGTGGTGACTCCCCATTTGCGCCTGACCTTGTACGGTTCCTGCAGGACTTTCGTCTCTGGGAAATCTTTTTTAATTCGGGCCAGTTCCTTTTCGACATCATCGAACAGAAAAGTCATGCCCCGCGACCCTATCAGGTTGAACGGAGCTGGCCATTGATTCTTGGTGATCAGGTTCTTCCACGAATAGAAGAAGACATGCATGTAAGCATCCCCAGGAAGTTTCATGGCCACAAATTTGTCCAGGTCGCCCCTTTTCACTCCTCGGGCGCTGAACCACGCGTCAGGGAGTTGTTCGCCATCGGCAAGCTGGAAACCGTCTGCCCAAGGCACCAGAGTCAGCGTCCTACTTCGTACCCTGTATGGTAATCTCACCGTCGATGACATAGCCGATCTTGTTGTAAAGTTTGATCTGCTCCTCCAATCTAGGAGTGTTCTGCTGCACGCCAAAGAGCGCGACGAGATTTGGCTGTTCACTTGCGGAACCCATTTTCACGATGATGAAAACCTTTGACCGAGGGAACGAGAGATCTACTGCAAGACTGAGTATACGAGGTCCGCTTCAAGCCATACTGTAACTGATTTGTCTCGAGATATTTATGCTGCAGTGCCACTTCAGCGATGGAATGCATAAAAGTGAGTAGGCCTACAGTGTTTGAACCTCGGTCGTCTTGGTGTCTCCAATGGTCGTGCATGGCGACGATGGTTGGCGGAATGACGAGAGTAGAGCTACCTGATCCATCTCGGTATCCAGATACCAATCGGAATTTGTAAAAGGTGAGGCGTAACTCGATCCTCATTTGCTAGTACGCACGATATGAAGCCCAATCAATTACTACATTTGAGAAGTGAGTGACAGGAAGAAGCACTGCCGTCTGGCAGATGACAGGTTTTGTGGGGGATACGTTCCATGATTCGCCTGTCTAGTCAACATTCCGACATCTATACAAGGGACTCTTGGAAAGGGTTTAGCTATGATTATGCAGGGTCTCGCACTGCTTAATCTGCTTGCTCTGCTACCGCATCAGACTCTTCTCTCTTGATTCGCCATGGCAACCTCCGACTCGAGTTTCTATGATTGGAACCTCTGAGACATGGAATGCTCAGGCAATCACACCTGTGAGAAGAGGATTTCTCTGCCTCGATACGCTAGAATGGCCGACCTCTCATTCCGGAATTACTAGACACCAATTCGCACCAATCGACGCGGCACGCTCCCACGCTTGTCAGAGCTTTCACAAAGATCTTGTACCGAAGAGCTCCTTTACGACAACTGGATATAAAGCCCGACGGAGAAGGATCTTGTAGAGACGGATGGTAATTATGCACCTCACTGAGTTGTGAAGCCTCTTACTCGCCAAGATGACTATGTTCAACCACTGCGTCAACCATGTCGCCATCTCGGTGCCCAACCTCGAGGCCGCGATCGAGTTCTACTCCAAGCTATTTGGGTTTCGGTTCCTGCGGCCTTCGGGGTTGGCCAACAAGGAGGAGCATCCCCAGGGCATCACCTGGAAGAGTACATTCCTTCCCCTCCCTCTTTGCCTCTCTCTTCCTCTGGACGCTCCATCTCAGAAACTAACAAGGACAGCAGTCTACGGGAAAGAATTAAATTCCGTCAAAATGGCCATCATGACCACCGGCAACAGTGTCGGATTCGAGATATTTGAATTCGTCGATCCCCCTTACGACGGCAAGACGGCACCCTTGCAATGGGGGCCGGGAAACTATGCCAAAGGCGGGTGGTTCCATGTCGCATTCACGGTGCCGGACCCCGTGGCGACGTTGAGGGAGGCGGAGAAGATGGGTGCCAAACTCGTGGGAGAAATCTGCTCGCCTGCCCCGGGCGAGACGGTGATTTATATGCAAGATCCTTGGGACAATGTGGTGGAGCTGTTGAGCTGTAGCTTTGAGCATCTGATCATGAACGGCGTGGCGGCGTGAGGCGATGCTCTGATGAGCTATTGGCTGGACGAGCTCATAGTCATGGACGAAAGAGTTCTATATATGCTAATATTCTGTCACCAGACAGAGTATACCTCTGTATTTCCCTCCAGAACAGGGTCCATTGTCGTCTCTTTCGGCGCCTAATTCCGAGACCAATCGAGACGAAAGTCATCCAGATAGTTGTAAGTGGATTTTTCCCAATCAAACGCTACCGTGAGTTCCGGGCCGCTCGTCGCTACAACACATGTCTCTACCTAATTGAGATTGGATGCTCGGTTCTCCCTTTTGTTTTTATGTTGGGAACCTCTTCATTAACGACAAGCATTCGCTGAACCAGCCCAGGAAAAGCTTCGGTACATCGGCTCTCAGTAGCGCACCCTGTATCTCTCACCGGAAGTATTCGTGTAGAATACTAACATAAGAGACTTGGTCTATACAATTCTTCAGCTCAGAAGGATACACAAAGGCTACCTCCATGCAGAGGTGACCATACTGAGTGGACTTGAATCGAACCCTGCTCTCCTTCCCCTTCCCACAGACGGACGACTGATCCTGTACGTTCCTCGACCCGTCCTTACTCAAGAGGCCCCGTGATCCAGATTTGCTGAGAGCCATTTTCCCCCTTGTCCCTAGGCGATGTCCTCTGACTCCATTCCAGCTACCAGGGAGGATGAAATGATGGATGAGACCAAGGACCCCGACGCGGTCAAGGTCCAGGTCCAGGTCACGGCCGCCCCCGCGACCACCCCTACGTTGCATCCCATCACGGACTTGGACCTAGGTGTCGTGGCATGGGACAACCAGAGCGACCCTCAGAATCCGCTGAACTTTTCCAATGCTCGCAAATGGGGCCTGTTGGCCTTGGTCAGCTCCATCTCCTTTGTCACGCCACTCGCGTCGTCCATGTTCGCGCCAGCGGCCGGGCTCATGGCGGAGGAATTTGACGAGGAGAACCTGGTCGTGGTGTCTCTGTCGGTCAGCGTCTTTCTGCTGGGCTTCGTGGTAAGTACGTGGACCGACCCTGGCGAACCCTTGCTGTCTTTCTCCCACCCGCCAGCCGTCCGTCCCAGTCCCAGGGGCTTAATCAACAATCGCTAATGTATGTGTGTCTGGTTCTGCCAGGTCGGTCCTCTTATCCTCGGCCCCTTGTCGGAGCTCTACGGACGTCGCGTCGTCCTGGGGAGCTGCAATCTCTTCTTCTTCGTCTGGCAGATTGGCTGTGCCCTGGCGCCCAACACGGCGAGCTTGATCGTTTTCCGACTGCTCGCAGGGATTGGTGGCTCGGGCCCTCTGACGCTGGGCGGCGGCATCATCGCTGACTTGTTCCCCATCCACAAACGCGGGAGGGCCATGGCGATATGGAGTCTGGGTCCGCTGGTTGGACCAGTCGTCGGCCCCATCGCAGGCGGTTTCGTCGGCCAACACCTGGGCTGGCGATGGATCTACTGGGTGCTGGCCATCGCGTCGGCGGCGGTCTCGATCGGCATCGAGGTGTTGAACCAAGAGACCTTCGCCCCGGTGCTCATCGCGCGCAAGACCAAGACGCTGGCGAAGCGCTTGAACCGCTCGGACCTGCGCAGTTACTACCAGAAACAGGACGTGGCCCAGGACCCGGCGGTTCTGGCGATGCTGATGTTGGCGTTGAAGAGGCCGTTCATCATCTTTGTCAAGTCCCCCATCGTGTTTTTGCTGAGTATGTACATGTCGGTCATCTACGGCCTGCTGTACCTCTTCTTCACCACCATCTCGCCCGTGTTCGAGTCCGAGTACGGCTTCTCACCGCAGCTCTCCGGCCTCGCGTACCTGGGCATCGGGCTAGGATTCTTTATCGGCATCGCCATCTTCTCCGCGACCTCGGACCGGACGGTGATGAAGTTGACCGCGCGGAACAGCGGCAGGTATGAGCCCGAGTTCCGACTGCGCCTGGTCATCGTCTTCTCCTTCGTCTTGCCCGTCAGCTTCTTCTGGTACGGCTGGTCGGTCGACCGGCACGCGCACTGGATCGTACCCATCGTCGGCACCATCCCCTTCAGCCTAGGCATGATGAACATCTTCATGCCCGTCCAGACATATGTCGTGGACTGCTTCAACACGTACGCCGCGTCCGCCATCGCCACACTGACGGCGTCGCGGTCCCTTGCCGGCGCACTGCTCCCGCTCGCTGGCCTCCCCCTGTACCAGAATCTAGGCTACGGCTGGGGAAACTCGCTTCTGGGATTCATCGCCGTCGCGTGCATCCCGATCCCGGTCTTCTTTACCAAATACGGCAAGAAGATACGGGAGCGGCACTCCATAGTGCTGTGACGTACGTGACTCAAACTCTCAAGAGAGGTAGATATGAGGGACACGCGAGGGCATGGTTTACGGCTCGGGAGATGACGATATCAGAGGGAGGATTTCAGCTTGGTTAGACACAGGACAAAGTTCGAAATCAGTACAAGACCTTGTGAGCATTTTCAGTTGTGAAGCGTTTTGGGAAAGCAGCGTCAAGGTCTAGATCAATTCTTCCGCCGTCCGAGTTACTTACAGCAATATCTACGTTACACCGATCGACAGAACAAGTCGAGAAATAGTTGTCAACGTCCCTGCTGGTCACGGTCTTGTCAATGGTGTACATTCAATCCTGGATTCTGGAGCAGACCGGGAACCGAGCGCGAATAGACATGACGATGATACGTCTGCCCAGCTCTGCCTGATTCGATGGGCGAGATAGCAGGTGGAACAAAAACTGACCTATCGCTATAGCGATACGGATGCACGAGTCGGTCTCTTTCTAACCAGTAGAAGTAGCCAGCAGCATTTCATTTCACCAGAACAATCTAATTCCGTCGGAAAGAAAGCTGACAGCCACCCAGCGCCGACAAGCCACGGGCCACGAGGGTTAGGGTCGTGCACTACCAATGCGGTCGGATGCTTTGTGTCGGCGTGTGTGCTTCTTCGGTCTTTTACTCACGCCAACTTCCTGCATGAGTCTATTCGTGTCAGTGAATGGCAGAGAGTTGAATTCCGATAATGGAGTCTTGACTTGCGGCGAGGCCTCTTGACGACTCATGCATCCGAAGATCGGTAAGTGGCAAAAGTCATGGACCAGAGAGAACGCTCCCATGCCAAAGGAGTGCATGATTGATTGAGTGAACGGTCCTGACGCTCGGTGAGTTGATATTCGTCACCACTGGATTTTGACGCTGAATCATTGCCGTGACTGACCATGGTCTCTGTCGTCCTGGCTGGGGGCTCTGGAGGTGCGCACTGCCTGCATCAGGTCGGGCAAATGAATGAGTAACAAAGCGTGATCAGGGCTGGGCCGCGAGGTTCTCGACGCCATACGAGCGACGGGCAAACATCATGTCAAAGTCTTTTCGAGAAAGGTATGTCTGTGCTCTAGGACTGACTCCCCTCACCTGTATCTGGGAGAATAGGAGGGAGAGAGGATCTGACTGGGTATTTCTCGATAGCCATGCCCCGACATAGCAGACTTGGGTGTGGAGGTGGTCCAAGTCGACTATGCCGACCCAGAGCATTTGGCATCCAGTCTCAATGGAGTGCATACTGTGTTGTCGTTCGTCCTAGACAATGAAACTTGCAACGTGCAGAGACCCCTCGTCGACGCTTGCGTGAAAGCGGGGGTCAGGCGGTTCGCTCCCAGCGAGTGGGCGTGGTGAGTGAGGTTCCATCCCAGAGACGGCTTCCCTTTCATACCACAGGAGTGTCAGACTGACTCATTTCCCTTCAGGGCCCCTGATGGAAACCCCGTGTTCCGCTATAAAGAGAACATGCGCAAATATCTCGAGGAGATCAACACTCCCGTGCAGAAACTCGAGTACACCCTCTTCCAGCCCGGCTGGTTCATGAACTACCTGACGTATCCACGGAGCTCGTGCAGATATTTCCACCAGACCTGTGTATGGATCGACCTGAATGCATGCCAGGCCCTGGCAGTGCGGGATGCGGATCCCTGGATCGCTCTCACTACAGTCCAGGACACGGCTCGCGTCACTGCACTGGCGCTCGACGATCCCGTCGCGTGGCCGGTGGCCGGTCATATTGTGGGAAGCAGGATAAAGCTGCGGAACTTGATTAAGCTGGCAGAGAGAGTGCGAGGTAAGCTTCACCTACCACCTTCACCTTTGTAACTCTCGGTGCACATCGTCGCGGGATCACATCGTCCATAGTTTTGGGACAGGAACTAATGCCAGCATCAGGGCATCCATTCGACGTGCATGAGGTTGACATTGCTGATATTGAAAATGGCAAACTGAAGTCTTCATGGCTCCCACCAACCACCCACCCCACGGCTGGAAGCTCCAGTGACTTTGCAGAGGCGATGGCGTGTTTGTGGTTGTCGTCTGCCGTCCACGGAGCCATGGACGGATCGCCCATCTGGAACGAGCGATTGCCAAATTTGCAGCTCACTGACGTGGAATCATTTCTCTCTGAATGGTACAAGGACGTATGAGTTTCCGTTGGTTAGTTGGTTGGGAACTTGGATCCTGACTGGATAAGTTACCATGATGTCCATCACAAGGCTATATCACATGGACTGATAGTAAGAATCTGTGGTATTTACACCCGAGCAAGCCCAGCCTCATGATGGCCAATCTTTGAGGTCTTGGTGCGACCTCTTTCCGCTCATACAAAAGCTTCTTCCAAGCAATCATGAACGATATGTCTGCGATACATTAGTACACCAGCCACAATGTCGATTGCCCAGTCGGGAAGACAGGCTGCCCAGACGTTATGCAGGTGTTATACGGCGGAATTGTGAAAAACATCATATGATTCGGAATGTTTGGTTCGTCGTGATTCGTTGTGGTCTGATATCGTATGAAAGAAATGCCGGACAGCCACCTATAAGGGTATTCCGAGATCTACCACAGATTCATTGAGCAATTACTCGCAAACACCCCATCTTTGAAGCCCGGACTAATACCTGCTGCTTTGTCGAAGAGATTCGAAGGATTCGGTTGCAGATACTTGAACGATAAGGAGATACCGCATCCGCAATCCAGATAAGCAGGTGTGAGAGCTTCGCAGATTGTGAGTGGCGGGCCATCTCAGTATCATGGCGACCTTCAACCTTCAAGGGAAGTTCTTCGCAGTCACAGGGGCCGCCTCTGGAATCGGCCGCGCCGTCGCATGCAAGCTTTACGAATCCGGGGCGTCGTTGTCCCTGTGCGACGTCGAAACCAAGGGATTGGCCGAAGTCAAGGACTTTCTACAGCAGAAATGGCCGTCGCATCGGGGCATCATCTTGACCGAGGTGGTCGACGTGGCGGATTCCAAAAAGGTCGAGGGCTGGATCGAGTCGGCGGTTAAGTCGGTCGGCCCACTTGACGGGGCAGCCAACCTGGCCGGCATTGCTACCAACAAATCCTTCCCCAATGGCATTACTGACGTGACCGATGAGGATTGGGGTCGCATGATCGGTGTGAACCTCACAGGACTGTTCTACTGCTTGCGGGCGCAGCTCCGCGATGGCAGGATGAAGAACGGGTCAAGCATCGTGAATGCTGGCAGCGCCATGTCGAAACTCGGAAACCCCGCAGACGGTGGCTATGCGGCGTCAAAGCATGGCGTCCTAGGTCTCACCAAGTCACTGGCCAAGGAGCTGGGCGGCCGGGAGATCAGAGTGAATTGCATTTGTCCGTAAGTATCTGCATTTCAATCACCTGATATCAAGCACAAGCGAGTTCTAAAACGCACGCACAGAGGACCAATAGATACACCGATTCTGAGGACAGCGTTGGACAGGCTGGGACTTACTTCTTTGCCTGGCCCGGCGATCAGAAGGGTGGGGCAGGCCGATGAGGTGGCAGCACTCGTCGCGTTCTTGTTGAGTGAAGATAGCAAGTATATCTCCGGGACGGATTTGTCCATCGATGGCGCTTGGTGTTGCTAGAACTGGGTGCGGCTCAGTAGACTGGAAGTGCATTTCAATGCTCACTTCCTGTGCTAAAGTGAAGATCAATCTTACCGAGTCGTGCTTGTAATTCCGGTCTTGCCCCCGGTCCATGTTCGGATGAATTGAAGCGGCATTGACCCCCGGAACTGGAGCCAAGAGTACTTCTTATCCCTTTTAAATGACTGCATGATCCTTCGGTAGAGCGTTACCATCCGAGTGATCTATATAAGTGTGTGGCAGTGTCCTGTACCGAAGAGCACAATGTCCTCGGCAAGACCTGACTTCGAATCCCTCCCCTTGGGCAAGAACGATCCCCCATTCTCGGCCTGGGGTCTCTATGGCCCAGACGACGAATTGGGCACATTGAATCTGCTGGACGACAAGACTGTACTGGAGGCAACAAGAGAAGCCCGCACCGGCAAAAGAATCGGGCTTGATCTACCTCTGGACTTCTCGGCTCGTCCGTCTCATGATAGAGAGCCGTTGAAGCATACCGTGCAGCGCAAGTATCCACGGCTCGTGCACGACGATGTCCTCCTCTTCAACACTCAAGTCGGGACGCAATGGGACGGGTTTCGCCATTACGGGTACCAAGCACAGAAGGTATTTTATAACAATGTCAAGTTGGAAGAGATTTCTGGTCCAGGTCACCCAGAGAAGACAGGTCGAGACTCCTGGTATCAGGGACCGCCTGTGACAAACAAACTGGGAATCAATAAGTGGTGTAAACAGGGGATCGTGGGAAGAGGTGTACTGCTCGACTACTTGCGCTGGTCAGAGCAGAATGGACGTCATTATGAGCTGCTGGGAGACCACGCGATCGACGTGGATGATTTGACGGCGTGCGCGGAAGCCCAAGGAGTGCAATTCCGACAAGGAGATATTCTGCTCGTGAGAGTTGGGTGGAAGGTAGGGTATTCTAGGCTGAGCGAGGACGAAAAGATCACTTTCAGTTACGCGACTCCCACGGTGCTTGTCGGACTGGCAACCTCCATCAAGACACTGCGTTGGCTTTGGAAACATGGATTCAGCGCGTGTGCCTCGGACGCACCGGGGCTGGAGAGGTGGCCTGCTCTGGAGGGGGAGGGTGAGGTAGGCGGAGTAGGTAAATTGAGGCTGCACGAAGTTCTGCTCAACGGATGGGGACTGCCAATCGGTGAGCTTGCCAGATGGCATTCGATCATCCAGGCAGGAAAATGTCGCTAACTCTTCTCTAGGCGAAATGCTGGATCTAGAGCGTTTGGCGGAGGAATGTGCCCGAGAGGGGAAATGGACTTTTTTGTTCTCCAGCATGCCTCTGAATGTTCCTGGAGGGATTGCCAGCCCTTGCAACGCAGTCGCTATCCTCTAGGAACGGCACAGATATCCGTGACATGATCAAGGAGATGCGTACGAGGTACTTGGAAATGTCTTGGCATATTCTTCGTACGACAAGGCCGTGTCTTGGCACTAGTCACGTGGCTATCTAGCGAAGCCCTATCGTCGGAATTTGGCCGGAATTTCAGCCTGCGCCGAGTTTCCAGTTACAAGACTCCTTGTCGTTTCTAAAGTTTCAGTTCGGAATTGACTCTCGGTCCCACCCCAGTCTCACACGTTGTCGACGGTTTGTTAGGATGAACTAGATCGAGTGCCTTCCCATCTTCCTCGAGAGCTGAAGGGGGTGGAAAGGGCATTTCCTACGGCCTGGCCGAAATCAATGTTGGTATCAGAATGGGGGACATTGTGTGCAACATATGTCTCCAGGTATATTCTTCGCTGTCATCACTGTGCGCTGACGGTGTCGCGGGAACGAAGTTTTCTTGCCACTAGAGGCTCGGCATACCCCGTATACCACGCCACCACCATCAGCACCAATTCCGCCACCAGGATCCCCGCGTCTCCACGTGGAGCGACGAGGGCTGCCCGAACTCCCACTCCCCGTCCAATGTGCACCGCAAGTCGACATGCGGGGAGATACCCTCGGCGGAAAGCTTGGTTATAGGCGATTCGTCAGAGATGAAGTGCGCACCTCGATTCTTGCTGCCTCCCGCATCTCGTGGAAAAAATAATGAATAGTCTCCCTGATATCACATCTCCGCGTCACTCTGGACATACCGTTGTTATGAATATGCGTACCTCTCGCTACAATCCGGGCCAGAGCAGGTCCAAAAGGTCTCCCTATGTGGCACGAGCATGGTTAGTGGTCACGGCTCAAATGAACAGCGCCAGTGTGCTAGAAGCTGCTAACACGACGCGGTAGCCAACAGTGTAAAAGACGAAAGGTGAAAGTATGCATGGTCTGCTCCTAGCTGAGGTCAGCGTTCCCTACTGACTGACATTCTCAGTGTTCCGGACAGCAACCGGAGGCATGCCGACCTTGCCTTGAGTCAAACGCAGTCTGTGTCTACAGTAGCGACCCGAGGAAGAGGCGACGACCTACGGGTAGCGTGACTGCCGCAGAACCTCTGTGAGTACTTCGGTGCCCGGAATAAACATGTCCAGGCTTTCACAGCTGACCGTCCCTACCTAGGGTGCCCCGTGCAGTAGGAAGAGCAGGTTCAGCCACTACTCCTTCAGGGGAAACTGTCCATATACCAAGTGGGGCCAAGAACATCTCACCCAGGACGTCTTCCCAAACACAAACTGTTTGTGCACAGCAAGAGTCTTCTTGCCAGGCAGATGGCTCAAGAAACTCACCCGACACGTGTGTTGTTCTGTCGTCGACCCACACTAGAGACGTGGTTCTCGATAAAACCCATGCGACGACAACAGTGACGCCGCCGCCTGAGCCCGGGGTTGAGCCAGCAGTTGAGCCAGATGATGTGCGACGCCTTGAAACTGAAGGCTATGAATCGACCCTCGAGGGACCTTCGCCAGCAGGTTTTCTCAGACAGTATCCGCAGACCACGCTCACTCTCGGCGGTGCACCCGGTTTTGATGAAAGGGTCTCCAACAAAGACCCTCAGCCTGCACCCTCATCCCGGGAGTGTTGTCGTCAACACCTTCAGCTGTGGCCGCCAGGCAACGATCATGAAGAGATGTTACGTGTCCGACGCGTCCTGGAACGCTACTTTGAACACCTCAATCCATATTGTAAGGTCTTTTTCTGCCTCTAGCTAAGCAGTGGTGGGTGATGGTTTGTTAACGACAGCGTACAGACTTTTGTCTTATCGAGGTTCAGTTTTTCGCCCAGTTCGATGAATACCAGCGTATTCGAAACGGCGATGACGTGTCCGACGATACCCTCCAATTCGTCGCCCTTGTCTGGTCTATCCTCGCGCATATGCATGCCTTGGAAGACAATGATAAGAAATCCGCCTTACACCCGGGTTGGGACGACTACCTTCACGCGACACACTTGCTGGGCCATACTATGGAGTTGGGCCATGGAGATCTGGCCACTATCCAGTGCCTCATCCTTCATGCGTGCTACCTCCTCACTGCCAGTGTTTCACAGCATAAAGCCGCATATAGTGTGCTCGCACAAGCCGTCCGGCTTAGCTACCAAATAGGCCTTCACAATCAACCGAGTTGGCGCATGTGCAGCCCCTTCGAGACACATACTCGACAGCGTGTCTTCTGGACAGTCTACAACGTCGACAGGACCATCGCTCAGATCTGCCTGGTGCCGTACCTTTTCCGAGACTCTGAAATCAACGTCGACTTGCCCTTGCGGGTCGACGACAAACTACTTGGGACCAGTGAAGAGTTACCCGAGGAGTCACCGTCGTGCTCCCTCGCCTCTTACCTACATGAAGTTGTCAGGTACTCGCGGTTGGCCTCGGAGATATGGGACAAGTTCACCGGCGCCAGATCCTCTAATCCCCGTCTCGACGAGTTTATCGCGATCATGGACGCGCGCATTCTTCACTTTCGTAGCGGGCTGCCAGCTTTTCTCCAGCTGGAGCCTGGCACGGTGGCCTTCCAAGCGGGCCTATCCCCCCGTGCATGCATCATCTGGCAAGCGTTGATGCTTCGGCTGGTCTGTTTATCCGCCCCCGTTTTCTCTGACTCAGAGTGTCGCTGACTCGTCGTGATTTAGCTCACCAACAACCTTCGACTATTGCTCCGCACCAAATGGGGATCAGGAGCTGTGCCGGTGCCCGGGCACCAAGAGACCTGTGTCTCCATTTGCAGCGAGAATGTTGACCTCTTGCACGAAGTCTACCACCTTGTCCCTCACGAGCGCTTTCACAAGTCAATCTTTGTGACGTATCTCGCTGGGGCGATCAAGACGCTAGCCACGGTAGTGCTGTCAGACAAAGAGCTACTCGAACTACGACGAAGAGCAGCCCCGGCGTTTCAGAAGGCCATGGAATTGCTAAGGCAGATTCTACCCCGGGTTGCGACTGCTCGCGAGGTTATGAAGAAGCTCGAACAGGTTGTCAAAGCAAGCGAAGAGCTCTTGACACGCGAGAGATCGATCCTGCTGACGCCACCAACGGATACATGGCCAGAGCAGGGTGAAGAGATGGATTTGGAGACCTTGCCTGAGCCGGGGGCCTTGTCTCCGGGATTGTTCTTACTGGATGATCTGGACTTCAGAGCGATGATGCAGGGTTTCTGGATCCCTGGCGCGGAGACTCCGTCCTGGGGACCTTAACCACCGTCTAGGCCGCGCAAGCAAGAGATCAGGTGTGAACAAACCCCTCGAATCGGAGACAGCGGCAATTTGTTTCGAGTGGATCTCCTGTCGATAAACTTGCACTCCGTACCACCTTCCTCAAAATTGGGAAGGATGCCCTAGAAACTGGGCAAGTAAGAATACGAGCATCCCCAATCGCCCGAGGGTCCTTGGTCCGTTAGGCTCTAGAGGCGAGACCAATAGCCGCTCCCACGGGTCTTCGGCCTCCAATAATTTGCCGTGCTGCCCGTTTTGCCATTTCGCCTCTGTGGATGGCAAAGTGTCGAGCCAGTCGACTCCCAAATTCCGAAATCCCGAACTGCAAGCTGGGCCTAATGGGTGTCTTCCAATTGCAAGATCCGAGTACGTTTCTACTTGCCTCGTGGCTAGAGATGGAGCTACGGCACAGCTCGCTTTGGCCTTTTGACCCTAGCGGCAGTCCAGGCTCCTTTCGAGGCGTTGCTGATTTGCATCTCCTCTACTGATAGACCCAGGTATAGACAACCCGATGAAGAGAATTGTGAATGGGAAGCCTCGATATCTGCTGGACAACCGCGTTCATGACCACGAGACCAATACGAACCAGCTAGACATGGAGCAAGAATAGCTAGCTAGCTAACTAGGTGTATGACCTGCCTGGTACACAGGGACCCATGCCGCCAAAGACTATTATTCAAGACTCCGAGAAAGAAGCAGTTACAGGGTGCCTCTAGCCCTCCCGGTCCGCTTCTCTTGGAACCCTCGTGGGCCCTGTTAGGGTCTTTCTTGGGCTCCCTTTGCTTAACACCCGGGCGTGCTAGGCTCGCTTCTTACTTGTTTCGCGGTTTGTTCTCGTGCGGGGTCCCCGCCATGCGACCTTTGCCACGGTGGGTTCCCCAGGCCCGAAATGGGTTTTGTAGACTCCCCAAGGTCCTTTATCCATCATGAACGGAACGAACGCTCTGCTCACCATCACCACCACCGTCACCTACGGATCCAAGTATACACTGCTTAAGCTGCAGCGTCCACAACCAACCTCACAACTGCGCTCTCCCGCTCTAAACCCAGCCGCACAAGACTCAAGGAATCTTTCAGAAGCCTGGCAGTCGGTGGCGTTCCACTCACCAAACCATGGCTAGCCAACCTACGCTATCTCAGAATGATGGAAACTCCGGAACAGCTTACAACTCCTGGAAGTCCAAGCTGACCGAGGATCAGCTGAAAAGAAAGCGTCTACAGGATCGCCAGTCGCGACGGGAAACTCGCAGCAAAGTAAAAGACACGGTGGCGACGCTGGAGGAGCGCCTTCGCCTGATGGCAACACCTGATCGCCTCATCATGTCCCTCATTGAGAGCAACGCCGAATTCCAAGCCCAGCGGGATTGCCTCCAGGGCATTTTGGACACATGCATGGGGGCATTTGGATTCGATAAGGCAGAAGGGCGCGATATCCTCACCAGACAGATGCAACGGCAGAAACAGCCCAAGGACGAAGCCACGGGACGAGCTGCCATGGTTTCGGCCTTGCCCTCGCCGTCTGCCAGCTCACCTGATAGCATGCACTGGCAGCGCAGCCCTGCCGACGTCGAGATCGACTCCCGCATGCGCATTCACATCACGCCCTCGCCTTTCTTCGGCATCGGCCGGGTCATGCAGCTCGAATCCCAGAATATGACCATCTCCGATCAAGAGATCCTCGCCGCCATCCCCAAGTGGCGCGACTCATTTGAGAGCAAGTCCTCGTCACACCCGAACTCAGTCATGGGTCTCGCGTGCGAGCTCATCCACTCGGATCTCCCGCCGAGCCAGATTCGCGACCAGGAGACGCTCGAAAGGCTTGTGCGTCTGCCAGACTTCTTCTACCTGATGATCGCGGAGTTGTTGGGTCTCTCCGTCGAAGAGGTGAGGCCTCCAGGCGCCACCACTCGTCACTGTCTCCTCGATGTTATCGGAAGCAAGCGCAGGCAGATGATCGCTCTCGCTGTTGAGTCGACGCGGGCTTGGAGATATAACTCGCCTGCCGAACGGGTGCTCATGTTTTGGGGGGTCTACCGGACTCTATGCGTAAGTCTCTTGTTCCTTCGCTGTGGATGGTTGGTGGTTTCCAAGATTCCGTCTTCGTCCCCCCCCCCCCTTCACTTCGCATGCTGTCGCCTATGATGCTTTCATGTATTGACAGAGCTCTCATTGTCTTTTAGCTTTTGGTATTTCCCACGCCGCAGAACCTGGCACGTTGTCCGCCTTGGTATCGGCCTGTGCCTTCGCAATTTGTGCACCCCCATCCGAGCTGGGTTGACTTTATCCCCTGGCCGTTTATGCGAGATCGCATGATCCACATCTACCGAGACTACCGCGATGCCGACCTGCTCTCGACCATGCTCGCATCCCTCAAACTCAACCCCAAATGGAACGCGAACCTCACCTCGCTCCTCGGCCCCAACGACGACCACACCGACCTGATCCTGGACCCGGAGTTTCAAGCCGAGATCGACTCCGTCGCCAACATCATGGTTAAACCCAAATTCGTCCATATCTACCCCGAGTTCGCCACATATCTGAACGTCGCCGAGGGCCACGCCTCGGAGAGCTCCCCAGCACTGTGGGCCGACGACGGCACGACGACTTTGGCGCCGCAACAGGACGCCGAAAATGTCGACTTGTACCAGTGGATCGACCCGTTCTCGGTGCCTTCAGCCTTGGGACGCGCGATCCAGAGCTTAGGTAATAGTCCCAACGCACAGTCTCAGCAGCAGCAGACTTGGTCGCAGCCTCAACAGGAGCAATGGCAGCCGGAACCCCAGCAGCAGCAGCAGACGTGGACACAGACTCAGACGCAGACGTGGCAGCAACTTCAGCCGCAAACTCAGCATTAATTACAAGCCTTTTTATTCCCACGTTTTGTCTCTCTTGCTCGTTTTCAGGACACAACCAAGCGGAAGACGAAGGTGGGAAGAGAGAGAGACGGAGATGTCTATGCACGAACAGAATCTAGATAGGAAATGCCACAGTAGGTGTTGGGAGTCTGGCAAGGCTGGCTGGCGCACTCTCTGGGCGGATAATTTTCGATTGTGGACATCTATATATTGGTTTACAGAACCCAATCTGCCGAGATATATCATTGTACTTTGTCTCAATCCGTCAAACACTTGCAAGTATTCAAGTCTCAAGAGACATATAGCAGGTCTTCGTCTCGGTCCAGTCCTCCACGCAGGTCTTGCCGAGCTCCTTGCCCGACCCGCTCTGCTTCCACCCATTAAATGGCATGTCTTGGGTCTGAAACGGGCTCGCGACGTTCAAACCGACATTGCCTGCCTCGAACCTTTTGGCCGCCCTCAGTGCTCGGGCCAGATCCCTCGTGAACACGCTCGCATAGAGGCCATACTCCGAGTCGTTGGCCCGGCGGAACACATCGTCCTCATCCGTGAAGGTGCTGATGCAGAGCACCGAACCGAAGATTTCTTCGCGCATCATCGGGCTATGTTCGTCCGGCTCGAAGATGATGGTCGGCTCGATAAAGAAGCCGCGCGTGCCTTCACGCTTGCCGCCGAGGAGGATTTCGCACTGCGAGCTCTGTGCCGCCGAAATGTACTTCATGATATGGTCGAACTGCTTCTGGTCCGGGTGCGGACCGTGCTTGGTCGTCGTGTCGAGCGGGTGGCTTCCAGGCGTGGCGTTCGTCCCGAGCTGACGGGTCTTGTCTACGACCAGGTCGCAGAACTGCTGCGCCACAGCGCGGTGCACGTATACCCTCTGACAAGATGTGCACGCCTGGCCGGAATTGAACGTGGTGGTCCTTGCGGCGGCCTCTGCCGCGCGCACGACGTTCGCGTCGTCAAAGACCACCATGGGGCTTTTCCCGCCCAGCTCCAGCGTCACTTCCTTCAAGTTGGACCGCGTCGCTGCAAGCTTGACGGCGCGTCCGGCTGCGACAGACCCAGTAAAGGAGATCTTGCGCACGTCCATGTGCGCGGCAAGCGCGGCGCCGCAGGGTTCGCCGAACCCGCTGAGGATGTTGACCACGCCGGCAGGGAACCCTGCCTCGCGGACCAGTTTCGCGAAGTGCAGCGATGTGAGTGGAGCTTTCTCCGACGTCTTGACTACCAGCGTGTTGCCAGCCCCGACGCACGGGGCCACCTTGAAGGTCAACATCGTGATGGGTGCGTTCCACGGCGTGATGGCCGCGCACACGCCGTACGGTTGGCGCAGGGTGATATTGATAAAGCCCTCGGTCACCAGGGAGGACTCGCCTCGCACATTGGGGACAAGACCCGCGACGTACCGGCAGTACCTAGCAGCGCCAAACCCCTCGCCTGTGTACGTGTCGTCAGCAGCCAGGGGCCCGTTGTTCGGTCTTGTCGGAGACATACTTACCATAAGAACTCACAGGTCGGCCCATACTCATGGCCTCCAGGCGAGCTAGGATATGATTGTCCCTCTCTAGGAGATCCGCCAGTTTGAGGAGGAATGTCGCGCGGTCCAGGCCTGCACGGGAGGACCAAGGCCCCAGTGCGCGCCGGGCAGCCTCGACGGCGCGGTCAACATCGTCTTTATCGGCCTCGGAGACCCAGACGGTCGCTTGGTTGGTGGCAGGGTCGACCAGTCGAAAGGCCTTGCCGGCTTTGGGGAGCACAAATTCGTTGTCGATGAAGAGGCGCGTCTCTATGGCATTTCGTCCTGAATCGCCGTTCTTGATGTAATTTTGGTCGCCCATCTTTTCTCTGTCCTTTGGCCCTACTTCTTAATCACTCGAATCTGGTACTTCTAAGCATCGAGGTGTTCTCGATGTTGACGGCGGGGCTGTATGTACGCCGAGAATATCTCCTCACTTGCCGCCTCAACTCAAGCAAGATATATGAGGCGGCTCTTTGCCCTTTCGTGTGTTACCGGTAAATCATACGCCCCGCCCCCATCGTCACGGAGTTACTCGTCCAGAGGACACGAAGACGACGGGCTGCTGTGTGCCCTGGGGTCCCGAGTTTCCCGGAAAGAAGATATTTCCGGGAGGAATTCGGTCGCCCATCCAGGTGACAGTCGAGCTGCACGCCTTTCTAGACGTGAAGCCTTGTCCTCCAATCAAAAACGTCTCTTCGGTGCGATTTGCGATGTCTGTCCTACGGGCTACAGGCTGAAGGATTCACCACGAGGGAGCATTCCAGGATTCTATGGAGGAGCCTTCCCGTGTCCTGGAATGGGTTGTAGAATATGGATCGACGATGGCGTGGAGGCTTGGGTATCGACGCTTAGCTCGGCACGTATGGTATCGAGGAGTATCTCCCCAGAGGTAGATGATGGGCTGCTCGAGATCTTCTTCCACGTCAAGGCTCCGGACTAATGCCGGTTTCTGGGTGAATAGTCCCTTGTCGGGCCGGTCAGATCATAGTGTCTAGCATATCTCCTTGTCCTACAGGACACATCAGGAGTCGTATATTAGTAAACTTCCAAATCACAGCGGCATCTCTAGACAACGCAGGAGAGTGTTAAGCAGTCGGGGAGTGGATGTCCTCAGATAGAAGCATCGGCAGCCTCTGGCTTACTCAGCACCTTCCGCATTGGGAATCGACAGCCTGACGCAACATCTCCTGCAGTTCCAGCTTCAAAGACAATGAGGGATTGAATACGTGTATTCTCCGCCTATATTGCGATATATTCACTGAAACTATGACGCGATGTCGGGCAATGAACGAATGCCTATGCCAGAAAAGGCCGGATGGAGAAAGGTGCTCACCGGTGACCGAGCCAATGAGGCTGGGAGCTGAGATCTGAGATATGTACATTGGCACAACCAGAAGCATTCAACGTGTGCTCTTCCGGGTAAAAAAGTTATGCAGACGAGCGATCACTATATATCTCGACTACTCTTATGGGTGTGGCAGAGACATCGTATGCAGCGATTGCGCCAGCCAAATTCCGGACAAGAGGCCACCACAGCGTTAATTCCGTGGGTGCTACAAGTCGACAAGCATTACTCAATGCGAACAAGGATGCACAAAAGGCATAGTATAATATCAGCTTTCCCCAGACCCCGTACTGCCCTGTCCTCGAGTCCATAGCCCCTGCTCCATCGCATTATCTCGTTCAAATCCATTCGTCCCTTTCTCTCCCTGATATACTCCTGCGCCCTGCGGTGGCGTACCAGCAGCGGCGATGGAGCCGGAAGTATCGAGCGACGAGAAGATCATGGCTTCACAGCCACAACACGATGAAATTAGATCTGCCAACCACGATCAGAGCCACGAAGGTGTCCAGAAGGTGGACTCGACGGGATTCGTCACGGATCTCGACCATCTCCCCAAGAACTACTACTACAGCAAGTTCTTCATCGGCACCTACGCTGCTGCTGCTGTGGCCCTGCTTTCGGGCGTCAGCGCATTCGCCTACGCGGCTCCGTTGCTTGGTGAGATCAACGCCGACATTGGACCCGATCCGAACTATATCTGGATATCGTACGTCTACAACACTGCCACGGCCGTCACGTTCCCCATCGTCGGGAGGCTATCGGACATTTTTGGACGACGGTACTATTTCATTGGAGGCGCGGTGCTGGCTACCATAGGCAGCATCGTCTGTGCGAGGGCGCAGAGCATACCCACGCTGATCGGCGGCAATGTGTTCCTCGGGGTGGCCACGTCGACTCAGCTATCGTATCACTTTGTCATGGGCGAGCTGGTGCCGATGAGATACCGCTACTTCGCCACTGGAAGTCTCTACCTGATCACCTACACGGGCTCTGGCTTTGGTCCCATCATCGCCCTCAAGTTGACCGAGGTCAACCCTTCCGTGGGCTGGCGCTCCGTCTACTATCTCCTGCTCGGGTACAACGTGCTGGCCCTGATCCTGTGGACGCTGTTCTACTATCCGCCCAGCTTCAAGATCAAGCACGGCACGGACAAGAAGATGCACTGGATCAAGAACTTTGACTACGTCGGCTCGTTCCTCCTCACCTCTGGGTTTGTGGTCTTTCTCTTCGGCATCTCCGTGGGCGGCACTCAATTCGCGTGGAAGTCGGCGCCCACGATCCTGATGATCATCCTGGGATTCCTGACCATGTGTGCATTCCTTGCTTGGGAGCGCTTCGCCAACCTCAAGGAGCCTCTGGCGCCCCTGCACATCTTCACCGTGCCGTGGCTCTCGGTCGCTGTGACCCTGGGCTTGGCCGCGTCGTGCTACTACCCAGCCGCCATCATTTGGCCGCAGCAGACTGCCGTCCTCTACGCCAACGGCGACCGCACCAAGGCGGCCTTGCTGGCTTGCCTGCCTGGACTAGGTAGCATCAGCGGCGAGGTGATTGGCGGTCCAATCGTGGGGAGGCTGCCTAAGCACAAAGTACAAACCATTGTTGCATTCTTCATCGGTGCTCTCCTGACAGCATGTACGTGGAACCCCTCAAAGCCCCCCTTTTTCTCACAGGTGTTCGTACTTGATAATAGCAGATTTGCTAACTCTCTGTGAACAGGCTGTGCCGTCATCACCGTGAACAACATGGCAGTGATTGCGTCGTTCGTCTTCCTCTCCAACTTCTTCATGGGTTGGGTCGAGATCATCAGCCTGCTCAACTCCACCATCGTGATCGACGACCAGCAAGAGATCGGCGCCGCAGGGGGTCTAGCCGCCGCCATCCGTACGGGAATATCGGCTATTGCCACGGTCGTGTACGGCACCGTCTTGACGAACGGGCTGACGACCAAAGTCCCCGCGACCGTCTCGGCGGCCGTGCTCAACGACGGTCTCCCCGCGTCGAGCGTAGCTTCGTTCCTACGGGCCCTCCAGGCCGGCACACCGGACGCATTCTCACAAGTTCCGGGTGTGACGGACGCCATCATCGCAACCGGTGTGCAAGCATACAAGGTCGCCAGCGTCAATTCCTACCGCCCAG